AAAAACTTGTAAAATACGCGTGATTCCTAGTTTAGTTCGAAGAGAAGCGACGCCCCAACAGGGGGACTAGACTCTGCTTTTATGTTTTCGTACTGCCAAGTTTTCCATGTAATTAGCGTACGAAATCTCAGAGCGATTTCAATGATTCGGAGAAGTTTGTTCATACATGCTTACGGTAGGAGAAAGATCACTCAGAAAAAGACTGTAGGGCTCACCGCCAAAGCTCAAGTTGACGTGGATTGAAAAGCACTACTGATGCATGGATTCAGCAGTTTTCGCATCAAAAAACGTTTTGCCACCAAGTGATGTTGCGCTAATTAGAGCGATGTAGAATGTTTGCAGTTCGCGACCTAATGGAAACATAATCCCGTTCCAAGAGTGCCAGTAACCTTAGAGTGGGCAATAAATATACTCACAACTAGAATTACAGTAACAGAGAAGAAGACTTTTGACAAAGCCTAAAAGAGGAAAGATCTCTGAGCTGGGTGGACCAATTGAAGTAGAGTAGTTCTCTTCGTAGAACGCACTTCCTAGTCTTGCACAAGAGATTTAAATGCTCTTCATGATCACTAGCGAAGAATCGAGTGTTCCTCAAGCGATGACTGCCCCTAGAACCTACTGACACTTATCGCCATCTTAGTTTTGAAAAAGTGTATTCATGTTGTCTTCGTGCGAAAGGATGAGCTCAAAAAGGTGTCCAAATTGCGCCTGACAAAACACCCTCTGGCATTTGGTCAGTCAGTCACCACGACACTTGCTGCTTTAAGGTCCATTTTGTAGTGATGGGGAACATTTATTACCAGCAATCAACGAATAGAACTTGCTACAAAAGGAACGAATTTCGACATCCAAGTGCTTGAGAGACGCAGTCGACGTAGGTAATTCGGTCAGAAGGTGCGCGATTCGGTAAGTGGAATGCAGAGTGCGAAAAAGTGATGGCGAAAATGTTGTCGAGATGAAAACGAACGCATCCGTTCATTGCGGGTCACCCTACGGAGAACTAGGTAAGAAAAATCAGGTCTTCTTATATAGTAGACGATTTGGTGACCTGATTTCGTAATCAGTTGAATGGAACACTGTGATGACATGGATGTTAAATCTTTCATGCGTTTTATTACACTTTCAATACTGCATATCGATATACGTATACCGTACGCGACCTTGGAACGATCTGAAAAGTCCCCAGGACAGGAGGACCCTCACAGAGGCAGATTTCGACCGGAAGATACGCTCATCGTTTTCCCACTTATCTGAAGTTTGTCTCCTTTTGAAGGATAAGTGACAAGAGAATCGTAATACGCCAAGCTAGTGGGCGCGTCTCCGCGCACGACAAACTAGTTGCATATGGCCAGCTGAAGCTGAATGTTAGTGAGAGGAAATGTCGTTCACAGTCTCTGATTGAGTTTGTTTGACTGCTGCTATTCCAATCAGAGCACGTCTTGCCGCTTGGGAAAAGTTTGGAAAATGCTCCCCACCCCTCCCTCCAATCCTCGAAGATTTTTTGGTCTACCTCGAAATTTCGTCGTTGAGCGGAGGAGGGCATACCATTGGTGGAATGGTAAAGAAAGCAAAAAAAGTCTGCAGTCTTGAGCATCTTACCCCGACGCCAGCGCAGCAAATGCACCACGACCCCCTGTCCTACCCAGGGAACAGCATCGTTGTGTGAGGGGGTCGCACTTGGCCGCTAGGGAGGAGGGGGTCGTTTTGGTCGTTGTGGGAGAAGGGGGAGAGGTGAGAGGGGAGTTGTACTGCCTTTGATAGAATTTTGCCGCGTCGGGGAAAGACTTGTCCCGGTTGTTGACTTTTCGCGGTTTTTCCCGTTTCGCAATGGTGTGTACCCCTCTCCCCCTGCCGCTCGACGGAAAATTTTTGGATGGGAAAGCCTAGGAATTTTAAAACAACGGTAATAGTAGGGAGCTGGGAACTTGGAGGAAAAAGGATTGACAACTCAACTATCTACGTGACGGTCGTTTTTTTTGCGCTCCTTTCTTTTTTGTTTCTTTCATATTTATTTAAGCATTTGTTTCTTGCACTCTATTCCTTTGTATCTTTGTTATCATTTAGTTCGACTTACCGCCTGTTTTGTTCCGTTTGTGTTTCTATTTTTTTTTGTTTACTGATTTTCAGATTCCTGTGTTTACGTTGCTCCTGATTTATTCGATTTCTGGTAGATCAAATAATAATGGTGGGCAGAAGTCAACGTACAGCTACAAAAAAGAATGGCCCCAGTGATCCTAAGCCTCTGGTGGTGGATATTGAGAGCTCCCAGGAGGCAAACAGTAGCCAAGGGGGTGCTCTCAACATAGACAAATTATCCGCCGCGGATCTTCTAAGCATTATAATCGAACGCAATAGGGACCCCCTCCTTAGCCCTCTGCTCAGTGCTCTGTCCGAGAAAATCCCAAAGGACTTCACGGAGACTATTGAGAGCGAGAAACGTGCGCGGAGCATTGTCGTCTATGGCTTGGAGGAATCCAACGAAGATCTTCGCCCTTCGGACTGCCAGAAGGATCTCGAGGGGAAGGTTGCGGGGGTATTGGACATTCTTAAAGTGGAGTGCCGACCCTCCGAGGTCTACCGAATGGGCAAACGGGATCCTATTCGTCCCCGGCTCGTTAAAGTTGTACTTCCCTCCACCTCGCATTGGCGTACTGCGCTTGCGAATGCCCGCCTACTCCGAGACACTGTCTTTCATCAGGTTTTCATACGTAAAAGTATGACACCTGAGGAGAGGCAGCGTGAGTTCGAGCTCAGGCAAATTGCCCGCGAGCGCAACAAAGGGAAGAGAGCCAAGGAATGGGTCGTCTACAAGGGAGCACTCACTCAGGTTTCCAGCCTACCTAGTAGGACATCGGGAAACCCATAAGCTCGCATGGTTACCCGCTACTGCGATGTTGCCTACTGAATGCACGAAGTTTAGTTAACAAATTGATTCACCTGCATTCTTTTATCTCACAATAAACCTGATATTCTGTGTGTCACTGAAACCTGGTTGAAGGGCACTATTCTTGATTCTGAGTTAGTTGGTTCTCTTCCTTACATTCTTCATCGCCATGACAGGTCTCGTGGTAAGGGAGGGGGCGTTTGTTGCTTCGTTAAAGGAAATATTCATGTAGAATTCGTGTCGCACATTACAGCTGGGAAGGCTGATGGACTCTGTGTAGATCTCTTTTTCCCGACGAGGTCCTACTATACCCGCCTCATTACGGTATATCGCCCACCCAATTCTACCAGAGTTGACGACGATGCCCTGATTGAGGTCCTTGGTGACCTTGCATCCTTGCGTGAGAGCACTGTGATACTTGGTGATTTCAATTTACAAGTTGACTGGGGTAGCTTGAGTGCATTGAATCCTGCTTCTGCTGCTTATGTAAACTTCTTTCGGGTGTGTGGACTGGAACAGTATGTCAAGCAACCCACTCATAATGGAAATGTCCTCGATCTCATACTTTCTACGTCTCATAATATCTTGGACGTTTCTCTCTTACCTCCACTGGCTACTTCTGACCATAACGTTGTCTACTTTAATCTTCTTGAAGAATCCAGCTCCCCTTCCTGTGTTCCTAGGCCTGATTTCTTGAATACTGACTTTACTGCCCTCAACAACTTTTTCCAAGGTATAGACTGGTGGGCTCTCTTTGATCAGTATTCCTCTATGGATGACATTTACCAGAGATTTTGTAGGGTGGTGTACAATGGGCTTGCGCATACTGTTCCTTTTAAGTCTATCAGTGCATCTGGTCTGAAGTACCCTCTCCATATAACCAACTTACTACAGCAGAAAGAACGTCTTTTTTCAGAATTGAGCTCCCCTCTCGGCAATGCTCTCTATAGAAAAGTTTGCTCTGATTTGAA